CCCTCCCCTTCCCCTCCTCCTCCTCCTTGTGTATTTAGCATGAACCAGAGCCCAAACTTAGCCTCTAGGCAGTTGGAGCCCAGCACAGCCCAGCCCTTCTGGGCTCAGCCTTTGGCTGGGCGCTTTGGCCATGTGCTCAGTGTTCTCTCATGTAAAACTGAGGGGACAGTTCTGATGGCAGCGCAGGGCTGTGATCACAAGGTCGTGATTCCGCTGTCCCTGGGTTGCCCCCAGGCTCTGCAGGACTCAACTTTCCCCAAGATGCTGAGGAGCACCTACAGCTCCCCGACCCGTTCTTCCCAGAGTCCGGATGGCAGCGCAGGCAGAGCCAGGAAGTGTGATGTGTCGGGGTGCACATGTGCACGTGTGCATCGTGGAACTGACTTTTTTTTTCCACTGAATTGGCAGTGTCTTCAGTGAGTCATGTGTATCCTCGAGGAGGGGACAGGTCCCCGGGGCCACAGCGTGTCAGGCAGAGGTCAGGTCTCTGCACTGGAGCCTAGCCGGGTCTCAGAAGTCTGCGGGTTTTATGGGGAGGAGCCAAGCAGGGAAAAAGTGGGGCGGCTCCTGACAGAGAAGCAAGCAGGGAGAGCAAACCCCTGGTGGCAGGTGAGATCTTGAGACAAGGTGTAAAGGCGACGACCTGTATCTGTCACCTGAGATACAGCCCCAAGGTGGATGGCAGTAGCTGTGGCTGGGTGCACGGAGGATGACACTCTCGTTGCCCGACCCAGGGCCCCCTGTGCCCATCCCTGCACACAGCCCAGCCCTCTCTTCAGGCAGCCCCCCAAGTCCCACCCTCAGGTTGCTCTTGTTCTGAGGCGGAGGCTTTGTGGGACACACCTAGATCTCCCAGTCTCACTCCCCAGACCCATGAGAATAAAGGTGCACGGGACAGTTAGCAAGCATGGGGTCCAGCCATCAGAGGCTCCTATAAGGCCCCTCCCCTGAGATGTAGGCTTGACCCCCAGGTCCCCTGAGGGGGTGTGTAGGTAGGGTGCTTCTCCCCCACCCCTGGCACTGCCCAGGATTGGTAAGGGTGGCATCCAGGGCCCTGGGCAAAGGAGCAGTCATTACTGCCCACCGTACCTGGCTGCTCCACCCTCTGAAGCCCTAGCCTCTCCTGCGGGGTCTCCCTTTCCTGCAGGGCCACACACGCATGCATGCTCTATCCTCCCCTCCCTATCCTCCTGGCACTGTAGGATGGGGACAGGGTTCCTGGAGCTTGGGAACTTCGGTGGCACTCTGACCTCTGTCCTGGTGCAAGAGGCAAGCCCTGGGAGGTGACTGACCTGAGGTTACATCCGATACTGCCTGTCACCTCCAACTTCCAAAGTTCCAGACTCCCTTCTGGCATTAGGGAGACTCAAGGAAACCAGCACCCCTGCCCCACGGCAGGTCCTAGGTTGTGTCAAAGCTCCACATAGAGATGAAGGTAGCTCTGGACTCGGAGTCACCCTGGGAGGAAGGATGCAGTGAGGTCCTTTGCTGAATCAAGACCCTTCCCAGGAGCTGGGGAGATGGCTCAGTAGAATAAGCACATGCTTGGCAAGCATACAGGCCTGAGTTCAATCCCCGGTTCCAAGGGAAAAAAAAAAAAAAAAAATCCTTCCTGCCCTGTGAGGGTGGGAGCTGGGGACACCTGAGCCAGAAGTGAGGGAGGAAGTGAACAGGACAGACGCTGAGGCTCAGCTCAGGGCCCACTCACTGACCACCTCCCCGGGCCCAGCCCTGGGCTGGCACTGGACAGGAGCTCGGTTCACTAGCCCAGACCTGTTGGAGAGGTCGCGTGGGCAGATACGCAGCACAGAGCAGCTCTCAGATCCCCAGGGACCCTGCTTCCTGGAGGTGCGTGGCCGGGCTGTGAAACGCACAGGAGGCCAGAAGCAGCCTTGGGGTGGAGGCAAGAGCCGTGGGCCTGGCACAGCCGACCTGGGGTCAGATGTGTCACTCGACAACTGTGCTAGCCAGAGTCTCTCTTCATAGTGTACCAAGAAAACTCAAAGTGAGGAAAGGGACTATAATTTGGTGCTGCTCTTGGGTGAACATATCCACTTTGTCTTTTCAGGCTCTGCACACCGAAACTTGGTAACATTAGCACAAGCCTGGAGGGGCTCTGTCCCTGCCAAGACTGCACTCCATGCATGCAGGAAGGCAGGGTCCCCTGCGCATCTCTCTGCTCCCCTCTCTTGCCCCAAAGGCCAGAAGCCACTGACCCACCCGGGGGTTGGATGAAGGCTACCTAGAACAGGTGGCATTTTGGTGGACATATTTTTGAGGCAGAGTCTTGCTATGTAGTCCAGGTTGGCTTCCAGCATGCTGTAATCCTCTTGCCTCAGTCTCCTGAGTGCTAGGATTATAGGCGTGGTGAACCTTAAGGCCAAAAAATGCATTTGGTGGGACCAGGGAGATAGCTCAGTAGAATAAGCGCTTGCCTGGCAAGTGCAAGGATCTGGGGTCATGGGGCACCGGGCTAACCTGGTTCTTCCTGCATGGCTGGAAGATGGACCAGAGACTCATCCCACCTCCTCTGTCCCCTCTGATCTCAGGGTGAATTTGGCCCTGGCCTACACGGAGCTGACGGAGGAGCTGGGCCGCTTGCGCGAGCTGAGTTCTTTGCAGGGGAGGATCCTGAGAACCTTGCTACAGGAGCAGGCCCGGAGCTGCGGTGAGCTGGCAGCCCAGCCAGGAGAGGGAGGGAAGTCGCTGGGCTCCCTTCTGAGGTCTCGCTGTGCACCTTGGTACCCACCTGCCCTCCGTGCTCTCTTGCAGGCCAGAGGCACTCGCCGCTGTCGCAGCGCCACTCTCCGTGCCCATCGCCCTCCCCGCCGGCCCGTGCGCCGCCACCCTGCCCTCCGTGCCCATCGCCTGTGCCACAGCGCCGCTCGCCTGCACCCCCGTGCCCATCCCCGCAGCAGCGCCGCTCGCCTGCACCCCCGTGCCC